CTCAAAATGAGGCATGTTTGAAAATCAACTAGGTCAGGTCAGCCACAGGGAGAATTCCACATATAGTTCAAACACATCAGCAGTGCTTCCAACCTTTGTTTATATGATTTTTAAAAATAAATAATTGACCCTATCAGGATGAGAGGTCATGAGTCTCTTCAAAACATTTTTTCTATACGTTGACCTTGGGGAGCGGGCCAGCATAGCCCCAGCTCAGAGTCGCCCCACGGGGGTGCCCCGTTCAGAACAAGTGAGGCACTGAGGAGACGGCTCCCGGGCCTGTGTGCTCGGCGGCTAGACCGCCGCTCCACCTCCGGTGCAGACGGATGGTGAGAGACAGACGCCGACCCAGACTGGCTCGTGTGTTTCCCCACGTTGTATCCAGCAGGGGAGCATCAGCAGTGCATTTGGTCCCCAAGAGCAAATGTCTGTGTTTGTTGAATCTGTCTTGGACTCCCTCTCAAGGAGTTCACTGACATCTGCTAACAGAGCTGATGCCACCTGGGTTCACCTGTTTCAGCCCCTGATGTGTAGACAAAGTAACTTTAATGTGTCCATTCATTAACTAGAGGACACTCCAATCATGAAAAAAATGTCATATTTTAAATGTCTTACTTAATGTAACTATTTATCAAATTCTCATATTTATTTTCGAGAGAGAGGGGATGACAGAATATGGAGGAAGCACTTTAAAGATATTCTTATAAATAATTAAGCAACAATACAGCTCCAGTCAGTAGATTTAAGAATTTACATTTTTGCTACCTTGCTCCAGGATTGTGGTTTTGTAAACAGGAGAAACACGGTAACACATGATATGCTTTGCTGAAGGACAAATTGGAGTCAAACTTGAGAAGCAGGTTGCCCGTCATCCCATTTTTGTGATGTGTGCCAACGCAAAGTCACAAGATGCTCACAGTTATTCGTTCCGTGCATAGGTATTAAGCTCTTTTTTGATGGTAGGGTGCATTTCTGATGACTTGTATGTAGGAGTGGTCAGTGACGATTCCTACATGGGTCCACCCACAGTAAATATTTTGGTGGTAAATAGTTAAGAGAAAGCCAGGGGCACAGAAGGTGTTCTGGGAGGTTCCCGCCCAGACACCTCTTTGCCATCTTAGATCTGCAAAAGCAACAGACACCTCGCTTGTTCCTACTTGAGAAGGGCTATTTCCATGAAATCAGGAATTCAAAAGTTGGTGAGTGGCCCTGATTTTCTTTTTTTAGATTTTGTCTGGATTCTGCAAAACTTAAACACTGCTTAAGACATTTTATTTTGATTTTTCCATCACCATTCTTAAATGTCTATACAAGACCCATTTTTCCAGCCAGATAATAACATGTCCTACCTAAAATTAGTTTCCCTTGATATTACTTGAATCCCAAGGCAAATGCAAGATTGCAGATAAGGAAGGGAATCACAAATATTTTTGTCTCAACCATATCCGTAAGGCGACAAATGTAGATCCAAGATGATTTATTCATCCTTTGCTTTCTCAGGGTGTTTTTACTAATAGCACCTTTGGTGTGGAAGAGAGAAAAAACGTCCAAAGCAAGGGTTTTATTTAACACCACTTTGCCTCCCTAAAATAGACTTGGTGTTATTGTCCATGAGAACCGCCAGGAAGCAGGGAGCACCTTTCAGCTGGGGCTTCTTCCCTGTGGCCGCCCGAGAACTTCCGTGCTGAGAACCTGTGCCTGCCTTAGAGGGAGTTTCCATGGAAACCCAGTCAATCTCTTCTGCCATTTCAAAACCCAAGCTGTGCAGCACATGCTACTGTCTGATTTTATCCACGGGGGACTTTGATTATCCCACATGGGCCTCCCTTTACGGAAAAGACGTGCTCTTAGATGGGTAGATCCCAATCGAATTTTTGTAAATCAATTTTACCCGCCCCCTTATCAAGGGTCCTGGAGCTGGCTCCATCTGAGAAGCAAAGACCCCTTTCGTTAGATAAATAATCACTTTTCATTCACTGACTTCAGAAAATTGTATTTTTGAATGTTGAGATTTCTTAAGGCTAGGAAATTTGTATGTAAATCCAAGAGTTTAAAAAAGTCTTAAAGTCTTAATCAGTCACATAAAAATGAATCTTAGAGCTGTTGGAAGAAAGAATAGTTGAGAAACTGCCCTGGGCTGCCTTCTGTGGTCCAGAAGCACCACCTAAAGATGAACCAGCCGAATTACCGCCCTTGAAAACTAGAGGCTGCTGATTTCAAGGGGACGCTAACAAGGAAATGCCGCGGGTGCCTCTGAGCACGTGTTCACCCCCGAGTGGAGCTGGGGAACTGAGGATACGGGCTGCCATCAGTTCTGGGCACTTCGTTCAGCATCAGCCAAATGCAGGGAGGACAGAAGGGGAAAGAACTTCCCCGAGACAAGTGCAGAGCAAGCCCTTCGAGGGTCTCACCTAATTTTCATCCTCATCACACAGATGAGCAGGGCGTCTTAGCCCCAGATGAGGGGGATGAATCTCGGCAGGTTTAACTGTGTCCCCAGATTCAGGCAGCCAGCAGGTGGCAGACCCGGGATTTGACCCCATCTGCCTAATGTGAAACCACGAAAATAAAAACAAAACCTTTTAAGAGAGAAACCCCTCTTTCTGGGAATGTTTTCTTCTTTCCCAACACAGTGAAATCTCCAAAAATGAGCCAAATCAATATTTTGTTTGTTTGTTTGTTCTCATGGTGACAAAGGACATTTTAAACACGTCTTTTTTCATCATATGATACATTTGTAAACAGCTTAAATGCACAAAAAAATACTCCTAAAATCTTTCTCTTTCTTTTTTTTTTTTTACCATCAGTAAGATCTGATTTTCATTTGCTTTATTATAATGCCTCATTTTAAATCTGAACAGAATATGCCAACCTCCTCCTGCCCCCACCAAAAAAAGACATGTGAAAAAATTTCTACTTGTGTTGAAACGAATAAATTTTAAATAAATTTGCACTGTGCTTAAATTAGGAAAAGTTTAAGGATCTTTTTTTTTTTTTTTTTTTGAGCAAAAAGCAAGGCCAAGTGCATCTTATTGGCTGGTAGGAAACATTTCTATTTCTTGATGCATCTTCAAACAGAAACTTGCATGAAGATTAGCTTCTTAGATAGAATGATTTGTACTGCTTTCAAGTTTTCCTCCCTATGGGAGCTTTCTGGGGCAGGGGTCTCTCCACAGGAGGTTTCGTTTGGGAAATCAGCTATTTAAGTCATTATTTAGAAAATAATTACTTAGCAATCGACAGAATAGTCTTGTGATCAAACTTTAAGTGTACATACAGCTGTTACTTTAATAAAAATCAAGTTAATAATCTGATTTGGGGTTGTCATTCTAAGATAGATAAATAGGTAGATAGATAAGTAGGTAAGTAGGTAGGTAGATAGATAGATAGACAGATAGAAAATGATAGATATTGTTTTAAGCAGCTCATTGTTCTGCCTCAAACTCGTATTTTAAAAAACCCTTATTCCCCTTATGCACCCCAGAGTTTTCTCTATTACGTTTTCACTCACTGCTTAATTTTCCCAAAGCACAGGCTATAGATTAAACTTTAACCTTTAATATGAGATGGCAAATACCACTTTCTATACCCTGAGAGCTAGAATTATGTTCCCTTGCTCAGGACTAAACGAGAATTAGACAATTTCTAAATACCAAAAATTGTTTACACATCTAAGCATCCAAATACGGCATTCACACACTTGAACTTTCCCCAGTGTCATGTCTTTTCATTTCACCCCCTGACTCATCTGACCTGGAGCGAGCCCATCTCTAAGCAAGTCATTAGCTGGCCTGGTCTCAGCATCAGACATCCAGGGTGACTTTCCAGGGGAAAGCAAGTTGAAATCTCTTAGAAGCAGAGTACATTCATTACAGATTTAAAATTTGTGGGTTTTGTCCTTGCTAGGAACTCAGGTGCTCGCTGAGGGGGGCCGGGCACAGGGCCTCACCTGAGCGTTACTCCCAGGTGGCAAGACTGCATCACTTGGTCCTGGTCGTTGTTTGAGAGTTACAAATTTAATGGAGAGAAAGAAGAATTTTTTCTTAATTTTTGTCCTTCATTTTGACATTCCTGCTGGTACGAATGCAGCTGAAGTAATTTAAGGGAAGCTGTCTCTGTAGGACAACCTGATTGTTCTTGAGATGGCACATTTAAGAAGCTATGTGGAGGGCAACAATTACAAAACCCTTTCCGAAAACGTTCTCTCCATCGGAACAATGGCAACGTGGTGGTTAAGCACCTGGATGGCGCTGCCTGGACAGCGTACAGGGGCAGCGTGGGTGCCGGGGCCCATCTAAGCATCTCAGCTGACTCGACCTGGTCAGTCAAGAGAGATCTGTGCTCTGCTCAAGTCAGTGAAAGTCACAAGGATTTTTTAAGCCACCTGAGAGCTCAGAGATGGTCTGAAGGATTGTTGACCTACTGCCGGCAGTTCTGGTGCAGGTTGCTGCCGCACCGGACTCTGGGGTTGACCGGTTGCCAGGCCATGAGGAGTGAGTTGAGTGGGAGCCCATTGTAGTGCTGGTGTTTGGAGTTTAGACAAAGACCCATCTCTCAGACCACTGTGTGGATCTTTTTATGTGAAAATCTTGCTTCCTCTATGGACGGTGTAACCACAAGTCTTGCTATACCTGGGTTTGATGGGACTAGAGGGAACAAAAAGGGAAAGACCCAAGAGACCTTTAGGGGTAATAGAGACACTTAGGGCCCAAGGAAGCTCCAGAGACTACTGAATCCTAGGCAGTTCCTGAAATTCATGATCCTTCTGGAAAGTGTCCTTGTGCTTGGAAGGGAGAAGGTAGTCAAGGCCGTGTCTGGCGGTGGTGATTAAGGGGCATGTCCATGCACCCTGATAAGGAGTTCCCCACTCCAGGCCGCCTCATCCGCGTGGGAGGTTAAGCATTACAGACAGCTTGCTTTCTGGATAAATAAGAAAGTTAATTGCTCAGGGAATTTTATTTCTTTCAAGTAAATCGCCCAATTTGCATTTTTGACTGCAGGTGCCCAACCCCTGGCTGTGACGGCTCTGGGCACATTACCGGCAACTACGCTTCTCATCGAAGGTAAGTAGAGGTGCTTCTTCTCTCCATTCTTTCCTGTTTACCATCTATCATGCACGAGAACACTGCAAAGGGCGGGCTTTGACACCATGGGTAAATTAAGGGTCTAGAGGCCCACAGACCACCAAGCACACTGTCCTCATCGGGCCTTACTTCAAAGCTCCAGAAGCACAGGCTCCTCTTTGCTATCTCCCCTGTCACGCAACTGGTTCCATCTGCAAGAAATATCGGTAAACTCATCTAGGAGCACGTCTTTCTAAATTGAAAGAGTGCAGGAAACACAACACTCGCTGGTACACGACGGGACCCCCAAGAACATCACTGAGAGGCAAGCGGTCCAAGACCACCGAGAGCTGATCTCTTAAATATTGAGATCTGAGCCACAAAGCTGTGCAGTTACTCTAAGCAGAGCTGACCACACAGAAATGCCTACCCTTGGGCCAGCCCCGTGGCCGAGTGGTTAAGTTCGCATGCTCCACTTTGGCGGCCCAGGGTTCCGCCGGTTTGGATCTTGGGCGAGGACATGGCACTACGCATCAGGCCACGTTGAGGCGGCGTCCCACATGCCACAGCTACAAGGACCCACAACTAAAATATACAACTATGTACCGGGAGGCTTTAGGGAGAAAAAAGGAAAAATAAAATCTTTAAAAAAAAAAAAGAAAGAAAGAAAGAAATGCTTACCCTTACAATTCGAGGCCCTGTCACTCCCATGGAGAAGGGAATGTCTAAAATACAGCGTAGAGATTCAGTCATCTAAGATAACAAAAATTCTATACTAGTCGACATTCAGTAAATATTCTACAAACGTCTATTTTATGCCAGGCCCTCCCTATGTTAGAAGTGAATTGAAAGAACCTTTTGGTACCATGTCTACACAAAGGTGGATCCAGACTCAGTGGTTAGGAGCAGTAGTTTCTTGTCATGTTCAGTTAAGAACAACAAGCCAGGGGGCTGGCCCCGTGGCCGAGTGGTTAAGTTCGCGCGCTCCGCTGCAGGCGGCCCAGTGTTTCGTTAGTTCGAATCCTGGGCGCGGACATGGCACTGCTCATCAGACCACGCTGAGGCAGCGTCCCACATGCTACAACTAGAAGAACCCACAACGAAGAATACACAACAATGTACCGGGGGGCTTTGGGGAGAAAAAGGAAAAAATAAAATCTTTAAAAAATAAAAAAATAAAAAAAAAAAAAAAAAAAAGAACAACAAGCCAGTGCCAAGCCAAGGACCAGACCATGTCTGAGCAAAGACCCACTGGAGGCAGAGTCTCCAGCGATGGAAGGCAGTGCTGCATCCCAGGAATAAAGAAGCTAAGTTACTATAAAGCGAGAGTCCGAGAGTAGAGGAGCGCTCCTGCTTTCAATGCATCCCCCACAAAAAAAAGAGAGAAAACTGGGACAGTTAGAGCAAGTGGCAGTGCCAGCAGCCTCTCCACTGGCCCTGGAGGAAAGGGGTTTGCACAGATCCAGCAGAGTGCATCCTGTGGGTCTACACCATGTGGCCGCCAGAGTGACCAGCCCCCAGGGGTCAGAGCCGGGGATGCTGACGGTTGGCTGGTAGGGTCTGAGCTGGGGACAGAGCTCATATGGGGGGTTGTGTGCTCACTAAGATCCTACTCCAAGACCTGTGCTTCTGTGTTCACTCTTCAACCATTTGGGAGCACCGTTGTGTTTTTTTTAGAGATTGGCCCTGAGCTAACATCTGTTACCAATCTTTTTTTTTTAATCTTCTTCTCCCCAAAGGCCCCCAGTACATAGTTGTATATAATAGTCATAGGTCTTTCTAACTCTGCTATGTGGAACACCACCTCAACGTGGCTTGATAAGCGGTGCTAGGTCTGTGCCCAGGATCTGAACCTGCAAAACCCCAGGCCGCCGAAGCGGAGCACACGAAGTTAATCACTCAGCCACAGGGCCGGCCCCATGGAGCACTGTTTAAACAATACGTGTCTGTGAAAAGCAAGAATTACGAACGCCACAAGGAGAACTGAATGATGCCGTTTATGGAAGGATTCTTCATACTCATTTGATGAAAAGGTCTCATCCTCTAGACCAGGGGTGTCCCCTGGGCACAGCTGACATTCAGGGTCGGCTCATCCTTTGCTGTGGAGCTGCTCTGTGTGCGGTAGGATGCTAAGCAGCATCCCTGCCTCCACCTACTGGATGCCAGGAGCACCACTACCCAGTAGAGGCAACCACAGATGTCTCTAGACTTCGTTGAACATTCCTGGGGCCACTGCCCCAGACCACAGGGTCAGGAGGAGACTTGTGATGTTCATCTGTTTTCACCAGGCAGTCGAGAGCCAGCCAGGGTACTCCGAACGTAGAACAAGGGTAACCACCTCCAAGAAGAATTGCCAGAGCAGGACCACTGCGCTAAAGCAAATAAAACAAAGTCAAATTTAAAACTCCAGTTAAGTATAGAAAGCCAAGCACATTCTATGCTACTCCGCCTTTTAATTTATCTTGGAAAAGAAATGTCTTAGTCCTTCATGACCAGAACGTCCAGCATTTAATCGTGTCTGCACAACTAAAAGTGAATATTTACCGGTCATTTCATGTCCAAATGTCTGTTTTTCTATTGTTTTTTTTGGAGGGTTTGGCATCATGTAAATTTATTCATAATTTGTTTAAACATTTTTATTTACTTAACTTGCATCTTAGAATGGTGGATATTAATATAGCATAAACCTGTGAATGAAATATAATTTAAGCTTAGATTCAAGCTGGGATCTATGCCTGGAGTAAGTAATACAGGGTTAACGTATAGAGTTGGAAAATGAATTTGATTCTGTTTTCAGCAAATTTGAGTAAAACATACAGCCCTATACAGGGTTAGCATATTCAAAGTAGAGGACATTGTAATATTATTTATCTTAGTAATAACCTCCATTGCATAAAAGTGTGAGTGGGGCTGAACACTTTGTTAAGCAAAAGTCTTACCCTCAGTTAGCAGTTCTTGTGTAAATTGGCCACTAACGAAAGAAAGAAGCAAACTTCCCCAGTCTCTTGATTCCTGATGGCCATAAACACACGTAGAGAAACTTTTGTCAGAGTTAATCTTCTGTTGTCCGTTTCCCAGGAACATGAGCTGATGTTACCTGTGCAAACTCTAGAGAAAACTTTACTCGGAGGGTGGCTCTTCAGGTGTCTCTCTAAGTTTCACCACAGTTCAAGTCAGTTATATGAGTTTGCGGTGTCTTCATGCCCCTCCGTGGGCTACAGTGAGAAGAGAAGTCAGAACAAGGACCCTCAACACGTCGAGGGTGGTAGACCCGCCTTGAGCATCTGCCACAGAGGAACGTGCAGCCCGGTGCCAGTGTCCTCCTGAGCACAGTCTTGGGAACTTAAGAAAGTGTGCTTTCATCTGCCATCTGCAGAGCCACACTGAGCATTAGGCAGTTTCATTTCTTTTCACACCAGAAGAAACTGAGACTCCGAGAGGTTATATAGCAAGATGGAAGTCAAGTTCATGTTGTCTGCCTCCAATGTCCTGTCTCCTTGTGGACTTCCATGCCCCACACAGCCCTTGAAGTTTCAGCTCCCTGTGGGGAAGTGAGGCCACCCAACCCACCCTAGATAGGATCTAGTTTGTGCTGGCTTTGGTTTTGGTTCTAACGGAGATGAGGTTTTTCAGTCTCTACCTCATCTCTGAAACTTTCCTAAATTCATCTAATCAATGATTTTTGACTGTCTATGATGTTCTATCAAAAAAACTCATCATCAAATACTTTGCCCTCCCCTCTGTCCCCAGTGAAGACGGAGAACTTGCTTACCAGCCCATACAAAGGTGCTCATAAAGTTCACAGTCATTGTCAGGCTGTATCTTGGTCTTCTTGCTTTCAAACAACAAAAAAATCCAGGTCTTCAGCTTTCCCTCAAGGATCCCATTTCCAGGCATCTTTATACCTTTTCCTGACCCTTCTCCAGGATGGCTTTTTCCTGCAATTTTCAGATGTGATGGTACAGCGACCTCTCAGCCTCCAACCACACAGGATTCCTAGGAGGCCCATTGTTTTCTCTGATTCCATCATCCCACCTACAGGCAGCAAGAGACCCACAGGCCCAGAGTTGTTGCTCTAGCATAGAAGTAATGTCTATGGTTTCCACAAATGATTATACTACATGAATCAGACTCCCATTGGAAACCCTCCCAGTGTTACAGAGCAGCTGTACCCCTAGGGTTCCAGAATGTTCTCTAATAACAAAGAACAGTATTTATCGATCACTTACTACGGACTCAGAACATTACTGAACATTTTGCATATACAATCTCACTATCCAGTGAGAATATTATTTTTAACCCAATTGCATATGAAGAAGCAGGGCACAGAGATCCTATGTCAGCCACACTTCAAGTCCTGTTTCTCCCGGGGCACCTTCATTTTGCTCTTTTATAAGAATGGGCAAAATGTGTGAGCCTCCAGCACGACAGGCAAGTGGTCTGACCATATCACTCTCTGCTCCTCGGTTCCAAAGTGCTTTGAGAAGTCAACGCAAGGAGCCCAAAGGCCTTCCAGCTGTGAAGTGGACAAGTCACCAGGTACTCAGGAAGGCAATGAAAACCAGGCCTGAGGAAGCGCAGACACCAACAAGGAGTGAATAAGTCCCCCTTCCAGCTTCTTGGGTCCTAGTCACAAAGTCAGGACATGTGACTCCTCATCGGGGAGCTCCAAGGACCATCGAGGCGTGGCGCTGGCTTATCCCATAGACACCGGCTGTCACACTCGCAGCAGATCTCTTCAGCCAGAGAGGCAGTGGCAGTTTCTCCTTCGACCTTGGGCTTCAGCTGCAATGCCCATCCCAGCACCATTTCTGGTCTTGAGACCACAAGGCACACCTCCCTCCACCACAGCCCTGCTGAGCACTCCACATCTTGGCCTCCTGTAAACGCTCGCCTGTCTGAGAGCTGTCCACATGTCCCAGCCGAGCCTTTCCCCACCCAGAGAAGGCAAGACCGAAAGTGTTGACGATGGCTCCAAAATTTATAAAATTCCATGTGAAGATACAGGTCTGTGATGAGCTCCTGCATCAACAATATCGAGTCGCGGAAAGTACAGTTTCTGCCCAGGAAACTGTTAATCATATAGAGCGTAATCGCAAATGTCAACCTGGAATTCTAGAAACCTAGTAAATTCAGTAAATATTTATTGACCACACAAAATGTGCTAGAGGCTAAAGATACAGATAAAGACAGAGACAGATAGAGATCAGATATAGTTATTAAAGCATGAGCATGATAAAGAAGGCAGGTCTTAATTCTGACCAGGGAGGGTGGGCCAGAGAAAGCCAGAGAGAGGCGGTGACCTCTGAGCTGCGTGTGGACGGCTGGGTAAGAGTCGCTGGGTCATGACGAAGGAGGAAGAGCATTAGAAAAAGCGTTGTAGCAGCAGCAACAGCAACAAAAATCAATGTACATTTGACAAAGTGTGAATAGTCAGTTTGGTTGGAGTTTCGGGGGTAAGTAATGGGAGTGGTTACCGATGAAACTCGGTTTTAGGAGTCCTTTTATATTCATATGGGGAATTGAGAGAAATTTAATTCTCTAGAATCCAGGAAGTCACCCCAGTGACAGAGTGGCAGGGCTGACTTTCGGCACAGAGAAGGCGCTGCTGAGAGACAAGAGGCCTCCAAAAGCGCACTGTGAGGGCAGCGTCCGCGAGAAGACTGGGAGCGGCGGGGCGGAAGCAGCGACAGGGAAGCTACGCGCAGCCCGCGTGAGGACAGGCTGGTGGGCCAAGAAGTGGGAGAGGAGGACAGGCTGAATGTGAGGACGGAAGGGCCGAGGGAGTGCCGGATCTCCCTGGGGGACAGATGGGTGAAGGGCCATGTCCCTGTCTGAGGTCAAGAAGCCCCCAGACAGAGGGGATCAATTTCTGGTTAAATGCATTACCTTTGAGAGTCTTATGGTACGTGCACGTCGACGGAGGAGGCAGGGCTGGAGGAGGAGTGAGGGTGTGGAGTGTCCCCTGCTTTTTGGCTCATTGGAAGCTCCGTGGAGTGGACAGAGAATCACACATTTTAGAATGAGAGATGCGTCCAAACACTGAGAGACTCGCTCCCACCGGGAGCCCTGAGCTGGCAGCCTAGGGAGGAATCACTCCCGCCACTCTGGGCACACGTCGCTGGACAGTCTGTGGTCCTGCAGCGTGAACTACTATGTCGCTCAAACCAGAAGGAGAACACGGGCCGAGTGACCTTGTTGGGTTCAGATCTGGACCCTAAGGAAGAATCACAAATACGGACGGAGGCAGAAGGACAGGATCTAAGTGTAAGCACCATTCCTGTGGGGACCTTGGAGACCCGCCTGGGCTCGGTTTGTACCCAAAGCCGGCGCCGTGGGCATCTTCTCCCCAGAACACGGAGGAGGCGGCTGAGGCTCCCCATGGCTGACTAGGGGCAGAAGTGGCATTTCATTGTGCCTGTTGATGCCACGTCTTGTCAGCTTCTCTCACCCAGGGCCACCTGGGAAATGCCGCCAGATGGCAGCTCTGTAGAGAAGCTCCGTGCTGGCCTCGGCAGCAGGCAGCAGGTTTTCCTGCCCAGGTTTGAAGCAGAAAACAAGTTTTAAGATAGCAATCAATGCTTAGTTCCATTTTTCCTGGGGTCCCTTGTGCTCAGCTGTTGGTGGGGAAAGCTCTCTTGTTTCCATCAAGCATGGAGATCAGCAAGAAGCAAGCGGGATGAAGCCAGCGGCCCACGCATTCAAATGCTGCCCGTGAGAACAGACCCCTCGGCCCTGCACTGTGGGACATCAGTGCTGACAGGAAAGCCCGGCCACTGCAGGGTGTGGGCTGGGATGGCGCTGAATACTGGCAACAGCAGCCAGGCAGGTGAAAGGACCAGGCGAGGACCCAGAAGGTGAGGAAAACCGTCAAGAGCAGCCCCACCGCCCAGATGTGCCCAGGCCTCTCACAGGCCGGGGCCAGCACCCCACGCCCACACACGGAGACGACAGTGCCTCTTCTAACCCACACGCCTGCTTCCCAGAACCCTGGAAAAGTGACTGTGGGATTCCTAGCCCTAGGAGGCGTTCCAGGACTCTAGACCAGCCCGAGTCGAGATCGAGGCCTCCAGGCCGGTTACTGTCAGTCAGGTCTAGACCGAGGTTCGCTGTTATTTCTTCTGTTTTGGTTTCTTCTGATTTATTTCCACCCCAGCCCAGGTCTCTTGAGGACCCAGAGCTGCCCCTCACTCCCAAGTTCACGGGGAGAAGACGGGGAGCAGAGCAGAGGCGGCCTGTGGGGTGCTGCCTCCCCCGAGAGGAGCCAGGCCACTGCACCAACTTGGGAAAACGCTAAGGAAAGTGGGTAGTGAGGGGGTGATGGGGAACGAGCCTCCCTTTAGGAGTAAGGCCCTCCACCTGAGAATCAGTGTATCTAGAAAGAATTCAGAACTGATAAGAAGGACATATCTGTGAACTCAGCAAGACACCGAGGAGCCAGCATATCCCACCTGGGACACAGCCGTGCGTTCCTGTCAGGGTTCCACTTCCACACAGCCGGGCATCTCAGTAATAGTCTAGTTTCTGGTTCTTGCCTAATTTCTGGTTCTTCAGTGCTTTGCAAAGAATCCCATTTATTCTACATATTCTCATATATAACAGCCTAAAAGCCTGTGGTTAGCCTATTGTCAAACAGAAAAATAGACACATACATCTGTGTTCCAGCTAGAAAATTTCCTTTAGACAAACATGAGCCTCTATTTCCAAAAATTTCAAAGTTAAATAAAATAAGCACATTCAGCTTCCACCGTGCCTTCTGCAGGTACACCCAGAAGCCTGTACTTGATAAGCAGGAACAGATCGCCAGCATATCGTTCCCTCCCAGGGTGGAAGGGCTGGCAATCTGGCTGTGTGAAAACAGTTCCAGGAAAGAGAAGCAGGGAGGTGCACGTCCTCCTCAATGTCCCTCTCTGGTGCGTGGGTCCATCTTCCCTCTCTCTCAACAAGGAGTTCCCCAGCTCCTTCCTGGTGACTCCCCATTGCTTCCACTTCTGCCAGCTGGCCAGTTTCTCTGGCCCACCCAGCCCCTCGGTGCCCTTGCAAGGGGCTGAGGTGTCTGCAGGCTGTGAGAGCACACGGTGGGGGGACCCTCCTCCGATGCTGTTTTCATGCCGAGAAGCAGCGGCTTCTGGAGAGGATGGAGTTGAGCCCCATCCTGGTGAAGGAAGTCTGCAGAACTGACAGTGAGGCTGTTCTCACATCCTGTTTCTTCTTCAGCCTTTCAGGGTGCCCGAGAGCAAAGAAGAGCGGCATCAGAATAGCACAGAGCAAAGAAGACAAGGAGGACCAGGAGCCCATCAGGTACGCGCAGCACAGGGACGGGCAGGGCTGCCGGCCAGGCGCTCAGATGACACGAGGGAGTGCGCGTGGAGGAACCACAGCTGCACCAGGGCCTTAGATGTCAGCCGACTGCAATGTCAGACTGTCGAACCCAAAAACCAAACCAGAGTGCCCCTGCCCATGGGCCCACAGCGTCCTCTAAATTACGGGTGCTGTAACAAGCAAACACCATCCTTCTGACGTTCTGAGTAACCAATGCACAAGAAACATCCTCGACCCCGGGGGGGGGGGGGGGGGGGGGGGGGGGGGAGCAGTGAATGTACTGGGAAAGGCAGATTCATGAAAGCGTAGGAAGGTGTTAGCTCTAGCACCAAAAGTGAACATTCTGCTGGCATTCTGGCTTATGAAAACCCTCTAGCTACACTCTGCCTCGCCCGAAAGCAGGACTGAGACCCACGGGTGCCCTGGCCTTGAATGTGTGGGGTGAGAACGTCAGCCCCAATTCACCTGGGCCTGTGCCCAAACGATGCCCAGGGGGCCTGGTCTCAGAAATCCATAACAGAGACCTTGTGCTCTCTTCCCAAAGTTTCAATCTCACTGGATATCCTTAGAGAAAAATTTTGATGAAAACACAATAAAATTAGTTAAACATTTGTTCGCAGTGCTGGCTGTGTTTCCTCTGCCGTTTGCCGTAACCCCTGACAGAGAAGTCTCGGAAGCTGGGTCAGCCTACTGTTGACCTTTAGCTCCAGCCAACGATTTTCCCATTTGTTCACAAAAGTGAACTGATGGTGCACTGTGCGCCAACACCATCCCGGGACCTTTCATTAAATACAGCCTCTCCTGCTTAACATCCTGTCTGCAGGGGTGTTGTAGGGTCTCCAGAAAACACGGCCAAACAAATAAGTGTTTTCTAGCTCTATCTTTTGAGAAGAACACAGATTTGTAAAATAATCTTTTAAAAATAATTCTCCAATTTCCCACTGACTTTGCATTTTTCCACCAAAGCTGTGATTCTCTCCAAAAGTGGTGTCTTCTAAGTAGACACCTGCATCTCTCTTGATACAACAAACTGGATCATCTTTTCCACGTGCTGGCATCCATCATTCCTCACAAAGGGCAGGCGTTCTGCTCCAGAAAAACCTCCTTTCAGCAGCTGCAGATCAAGTATTTCTGCGAGGCTGAACTATTTCATGGCCCCACTAGGTGGTGTCTTTTAGTGACCTCTTCCTTTCTTTTTCTTTTGCTTGAGTAGAAGAGGTGCTTTTTCCTTCATGTCAGGTTATTTTGACTTAGTTGTAGAGGCCACCAGGTATAAGACGGCAAGACAACAGCGTGTGTCTCATGTGTCTGCTCCCCAGATGCCCTGTTCCCGGGTGTGACGGCCAGGGCCACATAACCGGGAAGTACGCCTCCCACCGCAGCGCATCCGGCTGCCCCTTGGCAGCCAAGAGGCAGAAGGACGGGTACCTCAATGGCTCCCAGTTCTCCTGGAAGTCGGTCAAGACGGAGGGCATGTCGTGTCCCACGCCGGGATGCGACGGGTCGGGGCACGTCAGCGGCAGCTTCCTCACGCACCGCAGGTGAGTGGTACCTGTCTGGGCTCCCGGCCCGGGCAGTTCTCCTGGGAGGGGTGTGTCACGGCGCGCGCAGCTCCTAACTCATCACCCACCGCGAGAAAGAAAACACCGAAAACTGCGACACCAAACTAACAACCGTCTGAGGCTTGGGAAAAGAAGAGAAAAGGCTTACATTCGTTTTGAGAAGTACAGAGTCATCCCACCACATCCACACACTAGCACAGCGGGCTGAGACGTCGTCGACCAGGCTCCAAGGTCAGAACTAGGTTTTCGTTTTCCGTGCACGCGCACGCACAACACATGCACGCACAGCACACGCGCACGCACAGCACACGCACGCACAGCACACGCACGCACAGCACACGCGCACGCACAGCACACGCACGTCTGTGGGTTTAGCTGTTCATTTTGGCAGGCGGTCCGGTCCGGCGGCTGCGTTCCGAGAGCGCCCGGGAACAGGGAAGCCCATGCGCCCTGCGGACGTTCCCCGTCCAGGGCACCTGGTTACCGCCAACCCCGTGCGCGCATCGCGTTTTCTTCTTTTCATGCAAATAGATCACGATGTTTCTTAGATATCTGCACAGGACAAGCGCCTTTTCCCTGCCCCTGGAAGCCCTAGACTGGCCGAGGTGGGCACTGTCCTTGGATGGACAAACCTCCCACTGCGCGCAGAGCGCCGCCACCTGCCCGCTGGAAGGCTCCAGCGCACGCGGCTCAGTCCCGTTCCAGGAACTCGAGCATAGGCTTCCCGCTGCGGACGTCTGCGTGTTCTCGGGCGAGCGCATCTTCAGGATGCAGGCTAGAAGCAAAAACGCTAGTTTTTACAGTTTGACAGGCAGTGCCAAAATGCCTCCAAAAAGTTCCTACTTTCTTAGATCTTTGGCTATCGATTAAATGTGTAAACCCTGCCCATGTGGCATAGGAATAAGGGTGTACGTGTTTTGCAATCTGACACAGAGACAAGTTCCATTCCTCTGATCAAATGTAAGTACTTTGGGTTCCACAGCTCTCACACCAGGAGGTGGGCAGCTGCGGGGGAACGGCTGCGTGTCCTGGGCTCTGGGGCATCTGCGGAGCCCAGAGTCCGAGCCTCGGGCAGTGGGCCAGGAGGCCTCGCCAGGGTCATGCCCTGTCCCCCCCCCCCCCAAATGCCACTGGGCCTCACCCCACACACCTCTGTCTGACACCCAGCTGCCACAACCAAGGTGATCTCGTAAAGATGCCTGCCTCTCCTGGGCTTCGGGCCTCTTCCCTGTTTCTTTTCCCCAGGGACAAGTCTTACCAGGGTCTCAGGCGAGGAGAAGGGAGTTGGTCCAAAGGGGTGCCCTCGTCCTGACAGGACAGAACCCCGGGACGCAGGCCACATTTAGCAAGGACAGTCATAGCTGACAGATTCGTGTTACTCGCACAGTTTGCACCCCGAGAATCTCTCCCTTCTAGAACCCCCATCAATGCTCTCTCTGCTCTGCAGACCCCTCCCCCAGAGCACTGTGGGTCTGCCCTCCACTCCCGTAGCCCCCCAGGGCTAGGCAGACTCTCCTTTCAGGGTCCCAGGTCCCTGGAGGAGCCACAGAGGCCCAGGCACGCGGGAATGACCACATGGCCCAGCCTCCCACCCACCAGCTGTGCCGGGAAGGGCCCTGGGGCTCTGGTCCAGGCGTCGCTTCCAGCGTGAACTGGAGCCAGGACTGCGACCTCTCCAGCCTCTCAGGCCCAGGTCCAGCAAAGGGCCCACCTGTGGCTGCAGAACTGTGCAGAGGCTGTGAAACCTTATTTTACTATAAAAGCTTAACCAGGACAGTCTGAACTGCTACCTTTAGTCCTCTCGAGGACGAAAAGGAAATGGATGCCGCGTAGGCAAGTGCGCTGAGCCCCCTGGTGCGGGGTGACTAACCGCGTCTTCTGCAGGGTCTGAAATGTCTGTGCGTGAAGGAGAACAGGGCAGGGGGCTCGTGGGTCGAAGGGATGAGCAGGGCCGCGAGCAGCGTTCAGAACAGACCTGCACTTATTTTTGTGGTAGTCAGAAACGTATACCATAAAATTTACCATCTTAACCATTTTTAAGTGCACAGATGAGTGCCATTAATTACACTCACACTGTAGTACAAGCATCACCAGCTTCCATCCGTGGACCTCTTCTCATCTTCCCAAACTGAAACTCGGCCTCCAGTAAACACTGACTGGGCGCCCTCCCCAGCCCCCAGCACCCCCATCTGCCCTCTGTCTCCGTGGACTGATGACTTTGGGACCTCATGTGCGGGGACCACATGCTACGTGTCCTTTCACGCCTGCCTTATTTCCCTCAGCACAATGTCCTCGTGGTCCATCCGTGTTATAGCCTGTGACAGGATTTCCTTCGTTTTTAAGGCTGAATAACGTCCTATTGTATATTGACCTGCAGTTTTTATCTGTCGCACAGCTTTCCATGTATTTTATTGGGCAGGCGCAGCATTCCTCGCTGAAGGTGTAACAGCAGTGACCCTGGGCGGGGGCCGCGCAGCGGGGTCTGCACCTCTCTCTCCCCGGGGCCTGTGGCTGTCCGGGGCTGACCGGCAGCCCTTAGGGCCCTGGTCAGGAGGAGCGTCCCAAGGACACGGGTGGCGCCGAGATGCAGGGCTCCTCGAACCCCCACGTGCTGTGAACACAAAGAGGCTTTTAGAATCGGAAGGAAAGATGAGACTGAAACAGAAATTTCCTGTTTTATTCTCTTTTTTCCCCAAGTTGTGACAACTCATTAGATGACAGAGGATCACCTTCTGACAGTGTCAGCAGATAACAAAGCAGCAGTAAACAGCAGATGAGGCAGGAACGCACACCGTGGCTCCCGGGGCCCCCGGAGCACGCCCACACCACTTTCCTCTCGCACAGGTCACCCCGGATATTCCGGGACAAGGACGTTCAGAGTCGACAGGAGCTCTGGGCACCCCGAGGCCCCATTTGTCGTGAAATCGTTTCCATCATTTCACAGGGAGTCTGTCAACAGGGGAGAGGCAGGGTGAGGGGATCTCCTCCCGGCCCGTTTCCTGAGCAGAGCTGACGGGCAGCACGTGGAGAATGTTCTGTCTTACCTTTAGGACAGGCCCATCTTTCTAGACAAGCAGTGTTCAACGTGAAAAGCGAGTCTTTCAAAACCAGATGCGTCCTCATATAACTAAGGCAAACGTTTCTACTGAGACGTGCTCCTGACACCCAGTGATAAAAAAAAAAAACTGAATTCCTTTTCTTTTCTAATTATAGACAGCACATTTTAAAAACATCTGCCCCCCAGGGCGAATCCATTTCTGCTGTTTCTCGAGCGTTTGAGGGTGACAGGGTCTTCCCGCCGGGCTCATCCCCATCGCTTGTGAAGGCAGCTGTGAGCGCGGGGCCCCACAGGGCTCAGCAGCAGGCCAGGGGGACCCTCCGCGCACCAGGGCCCACGCCAGGCTCCCAGGCCTGTGTGGTTGAGTGGTCTCGTCACCGTTAGGATGGACGCGGGATAAATCACAGGAGGAACTAAGTCGAGACTCTCAGGCCGACCCTCCCCCAAATGAGGCCCATGACCAGAGGCGACCCAAATGCCCAGAGGGGAGGAGTCAGGTAATTCTGTACAGCAATTAGAAGGCATTGTGGAAAATGCCGATTTTATATATGAGGAGCTGAAGGCCAGATGACACAGGTCAGGAGCACGCTCCTCAGTTCCAGCTCATACAAACTGAGGACAATGCTCAGTCCAGCCGGGAGGCCAACACGGCCGGTGCGTGGGGCGTGCAGCCTGTCCCCTCCATTCTACGTTTGGCTCAGGACAGCCACTGTGGGATGGTGAGAAAACACAGCACTCGCCCTCCCCAAGCCCAGGACCTCACATTGAGGACAAATGTTTACACCAAGACCCCACACATAGGGCAGATCAAATGGGATGAATGCTCAAATCAAGGAAGAGGACACGGTGGGAAAGACAGGTCTTCGACTCAGAGAAATCAGACAGGCATCTTAGGAAACTGACACCTGTTAGGTACATTCCCAAGGAAACCTCAACCCGCACCCAACCCTCTCTCCTGAGTCCCTGGAGCTGCATCAGTCACTCATTTCGTTCAGCTAACAGTGATGGAGACGCCTTCAACGGCATCCCTGATCACCACGTCAGGCTCTGGTTGACAGAGTTGGGTACCACTTCTCTGCCCTTAAGAGAAGAGGAAGACTCTGGGCGGGAGGAGGCTGTGCATAGATAGAAGCCACCACGCAGCAGAGGATGGGGTCAGGAAGAGAGGGGCAGGGTCCAGGGCAGACCAGGCTAGACAGACAGGCTCTACCGGGAGGAGACTTGGGCTGCATTTTGAAGAAAGAGATGCCCTTCGCCCTGGGGAAGGGCGGTGTATGAGGGGGCTTTAAATGGAACGCCGAGTCTGTGTTTCACACGCCCCATCCTGGCAGCTGCGGAGGGTTTGACGGCACAGGGAGACGGGTGAGCAGCCCCTAGGGACCCAAATGCAAGAGGACGGGCGCTGGGTCCGTGCCATGGTAGCAAAGACGGAAGGTTAGAGAAACGTTCAGGAGTAAAACCAGCAGGGCCAGTGGGTGAAGGCTGCAGGGGACAGGGAGCCAAGCAGGGGAGCAACTGCAAGGACGGTGATGCTGTGAGTCAAGAACATGGGAAAAGAGGTACATTTACACAAAAATGGGCACATTGAACTGTTCAGGCCGCCACAACAACATGCAATAGACGGGGTGGGCTAAGCAACAGAAATTCACTTTCTCACGGTTCTGGAGAATGGAAATCCAGTATCGAGGTTCTGGCAAATCTAGTCAGTGGGAAGCTCCATCTTCCTGGCTCGGAGACGGCCACCTTCCCAGCGTCGTCAGCTGGCAGAGAGAGAAACAGCTCTCCAGTGTCTCTTCTTATACTCCTATGAGTTAATCCTGCTGGAGCGAGGCCCCACCCTCACGGCCTCACTTAATCGTACTCACTTCCTCAGAGGCCCCTTCTCCAAAACCAGCCACACTGGGGGTTAGAGCTTCAGCAC